CACATTCTGAGATACTGGAGGTTAGGACTTTAACATACGAGTCGGGGTAGGACATACTTCAGCCCACAACACAGCCTACTTCCATCTGACCTACAGCTCAGTAAAAGGCAAGAAAATGATTATTGGAACTTAGATGGAAATAAATTCCAGCTCCTTTAGGCAGCGAAGGGAAGGTAAAGTGAATATATAGAAAATATGATCATATGAACATGATACTGAGAAAAGTCCCTTTAGGGCACTACACAGATAACTGGGACTGGTTACATTAAGCAAAGGGCAATCCGTAGGCAGCTCCATCTGAGATGTGCCCCAAACTACACCAAAATCATAATGCTCTAGTCACCTAGGACTACCATGTTTCCTTTAAAAATATGGAATTTTGAATACTTCAGGACCTGTAGAAAATAATCCTAAACTCAAAAAAGACTTAAATTGTCATACTGAACAAAACGGATGAGATATGTTCAGAATGATAGAGCACGATCTACATTTGCGCTGATCAACTCTACCGCGTGGCTCGCCATGACCGATTTGAACACATCTCATTTGTTCAATGAGCTCCCACGCCGCCGAGCTAGAGCTTCCTGCTGTCTCCCTGACTCACAACCGTCTGCGGTGGTAGCCAGGAGTGAGGAGGCGGCTGGGTGCCTACAGGAAGGAGGGCTGGCGCCCGAGTCAGACTTCCTTGGATTCAAAGCTCGCTTATACCTGCCACGTGACCCCAGGTAAGCCACGCGGTCTTTTTACGTCTGCTTCTTCTTTCGTAATGACAACACCAATACCCAACAAAGAGGGCTAATGCCAAGATTTAAAAGTATAGGCAAAAACACGTGGGAAGTATCCCATAGATTTTAGCCATATAGATCCATAGTCAGGCTCTCACGATCAAGACAATGTAAATAAACTACCAGCCTTCAGAGAAGCTTCTTAAGCTTCCCTTCCTCTCCAGGAAGGGAAAGGAATAGTTTTTCCTTCAGGCTTCTAGTTAGTCCCTAATTCCCTGCACTTTCTTTTGGGAAACTCTTCCAATTTTTATGGCCAGTTATGACTGAGGCATTTATATGCCTATTTCTTTTGCCAGTAACTGTGTGTACAAGTAATACATGATTTTCAGATCTAAGTCGGTATCTGAGAAAGAACATAATTCAATCTCATTAAATGACATTTTCCTAATGCTGTTTATTTAAAGTCTATTAAATTTTTATACTGAATCCCAGAGTTGTTTCATGAAGTGGCTTAAATCTTTGCTTTCCCTTTTCTCCCTTGATACATACAGTTTTATGCATAATATTTCTGCAGATTAATGCATCAAAATCACTAAACTAAGAATATCACAGTAAGGCTATTTTTTGGTCATTTACCTGAAAGAATTACAGTTTTAGGGATGAGAAGTAACAGAAGTGGTACCTTTACCATCCTCTTTTTCTTAGGGAAGAAGTTATAAAAGAGGGTCAATCTCTGGGCTCATTTTGGTATGTACAAAAAGTTATCCTCTCTGGACTTACGAGTGATTCTAAGTTTTTTAATGTATATTTATTTTGGGGAGAGAGAGGTAAGGGTAGGGGGTAGCAGAGGGAGACAGAGAGAGGGAGACACAGAATCCAAAGCAGGCTCCAGGCTCCGAGCTGTCAGCACAGAGCCTGACGTGGGGCTTGAACCCACAAGGGTGAGATAATGACCTGAGCCAAAGTTGGACGCTTAACCGACTGAGCCACCCAGGCACCTCATGGACTTACAAGTGATTCTAGAATGAAACATACAAGTGATTCTAGAATGAACATGTACATGTTTACACTGGCCACTGGAATGAGATAGCTCCATTAAAGATGCTATTGCTTATATCATCTTGATTCTTGACAAGTAAGAACTTTTCAGAAGTTTTATTGGTTTTTCCATCCGGTCTGATTAAACTTTGGAGGGAAAACAGAACCCCAATGTCCTTTCAAAATGCTTATTTACTTTGGAAAAGGTATATCTTTCTTAGATTCTTAGATTCATCTCATTCTCTATGTGGACATAGAACAAGCCCTTAAAATTACTTTCCTCTTGAATTTCTAGTTTGCTTTTTGACTCCTTAGTGAGATTGCAGCCCACTGATTTTTTTCTCTACTGAGTTGTGTCTAAGGAAGAAAAACTTTAATTGATTATTGTCTAACCCAGCTCCTTGATGGTACTTTACCACACCCAGAGCCAATAAAATATTGATGGAATGGTAAAACAGAAAACTATCTTATGATTCAGTGACTCAAAACTGTGAAAAGCTTTCGTCAAGTAACAATATTTAGAAGGACAATTCAATAAGTTGGAAGGGGTAGACTGACACGCAGATACCCATCACATTTTATTAAGCAAATTAAAAATAGATTTCATCCTTACTGTGTGTCCTTACAGAATAAAAGTTACTGGGTTCAGTTGTTGATAATGTGCCTAGCAGATTGGCTAATTGCTTTGTCCAGATGCTTGATGCATATTAATTTGGGTTCCGTGTCAGTTATGACTAGCTTTGTTCACAATCTAGCCTCCACTTAGCACAATTCAATAAAAATAAGGATGTTCACTTGAAATGTAACTGCAAGCACTTCTGAGGGGGGATAAAATGGCATCGTGGAAAGAGCCATGAGCTATGGGTGATAGCCCGAATTCTAATGTGTTCCCGACCACATGATCTTGGCCAGGCATTTACTCCTCATCATCATGCTAGGCATAGCTGCTGCATAGGGATGTCATGTGAAACTGGGGAGCCAAAGCATTACCATGAGGGAGCAGAAGGGGAAATAGCTCCTTATGCGCATTTCCAAAGTAGCACCTTACTAACAGTTCTCTGAAGGTAAAACATTAATTAACGGTTGCAAACACGTTAGAGGATTTCAAAGACTGACAAATCCCAAGCGTTGGCAAAGATATAGAGCAGCTGGTGGGAATATGACGTGCTACAACCATTGGAAATCAGGTTGGTGCTTTCTTTAAGATGTTCAACATGTGTGTACAATATGAGGCCATACTTCTACTGTTCCACTCCTAGGTATTTACATAAGAGAAATGAAAACACAAGTATACACAAAGGCTTGTACATAAATGTTTATGACCGCTTTATTCTTAATAGCCCCAAACTGGCAATAACCCAAACGTCCATCCGCAGACGAACGGATAAACAACCTATGGCATAGACATTCATATAAACATAGCTACATACACTACCAATATATACTATACATGCTACTGGCAATAAGAAGGGATGCTGTTGCAGACATATGCAACAAAATGAACCTTGAAAACAGTATCTGAGCAAAAAAAAAAAAAAAAAAAACCAGGTTAAAAAAAAAAGAGAGTACGTACTCTATGATCCCATTTTTAGAATCATGCCAAACGAGTCCATTGTGACAGAAAGCAGAGCAGTGGTTGTCTGGGGCTGGGCACTGGGGGGAAATTGATTGCAAAGGGGATTAGGGACCTTTACAGAATAATGGGATGGAAGATTCTATAGCTCGATGTGCTGGTGGCTTCACAGATGTATCTATTTGACAAAACTCATCAAAGTGTATGTTTGAAATGGGCATATTTCATCATGCGTAAATTATATCTCGATAAAATTGAATGAAAAAATGAACACACACACACACACAGGGAAAGCTGTGACAAGTGTCAGGCTGAAATGTCTCAGGCTGGCTATCAGATACCAAGAAGGCGGTTGAAGATCATGCCCATCTTGTAGTTGACTCTCCCGCCAAAGTTTAGGGCGTGACCTGATTCTACTCCCAGCCTGACTTCCTTTTATAAAAACTCTGCTATGCCTCTGCGCGTGGGATGATGGCCATGAGGCAGTTTGTAAACCAAGATGTGCTGTCTCCAGTCACAGAAAGGGCAGTGCCCGAGGCTGATTGCGCGCCTGTCCAGGGTCTTGAGCTGCCCTGTGTGTCTGCTTTCTGGGGGGCAGCACCTGCACGGAGAGAGATCCCTCCGGGTCTCCGAGGGGACCTGGTACCTGCAATCGTTTCCCTTTCCTCTAACCTTCCTCTCCTCGGCTGGACTCCTCTCACTGCTCAGAACCACCGGCCTTTGATAAGCTGTAAAGGAGTCATGAATAAATGGACATAAAGACAGCCTTCCTCCAGGCGCACTAGATTCTGAAAATTAGGTTAATTCTCGCTTGTGGCCTTGTGACTAAGAGCTCGAGCCCCAGGGTCAGACTTCACGTGTCCAGGTACCAGCCCGTCCACACCTACCAGATGAATGTACAAAAACCTTTTAACCTCTCAGAGCTCCGGCTTCTTTGTCTGCAAAAGAGAGGTCAAAATAACACCCACTTCACAGGCTGATGCGAGCAAGGGCATGAAAGTCCTTAACACAGGGTGGCATGGAGTAAGAAAGTGACAACTGAAAGCTACAAATATTACTGGATATTTTTGTCCTGGCCACCCTAACTTCTCTCTCTGTTTCCTAGAGGACATCAGAGCACGTTTCTCCCAGCCAGGCTCTTTGATCCAGGGGAGCAGAAAGTTCTCGTAGTCAGTTCGCACTCAGCCTAAACGGGAACTTTCCTAAAAACACCAGTTACATAAGACAAAATGGTTGAGCCCAGCCGCACCTTTAAGACCCAGACTCACACTCCGAGTTGATTGTGAGCATTGTAGTTCATCCCTGCATACTTGAGAAGCCTGTCAAGTGTAATTGCGTGAGCAGGCAGAGAGTCCAGCCACATGCCTTGTTGAGAAATGTAGAAAATTGGGTGCTCCAGCAAGCCAAGTAGGGAATTAATAATATATTTAGAATTACTAATAGAATGCCTGTCAAGCAGGCAGCAACGTATTATACACTCCAAAAAAAAAAAAAAAAAAAAACATCCTGCCTGTCATGTGGCGTTTCCACTGTTCCTGAGAAGCATATGTTCTTGGAAATAACAATGATTCGGCCCCAGATGAAACTTTTATTCTCTGGCATTTCCACCCCCCTTGATTTTTCACTCGTGTGTGTATTTTTTTTACATCCCGCCTCCCGTGTAGCTCCACCAACCCTCCCAGACGTCAGTGGGTCAAGCAGCCTCCCAAAGCAGCCTTCTGCACCTGGCTCACAGCCAAGCATCCATGTCTCAAAGCCCCGTCCGGCAGGCTTCCTCTTCTTCCTCCTCATCCTCCTCTTCTTCAGCTTTGAGCGTGGGCCAGTTAGTCAGCAGTAAGTATCCTTTCTGGCTCGGTTGAATCGTGGTGGCCTTCTCGTTGCCTGTCTGCAATGCCTTCCGTTCTCTCTCTCTCTCTGTCTCTCTCCCCTGCTTTTCTCTTTCTCTCTCCCCGCTCTCCCCTTCCATCCCTCCGTCCTTCCCTCCTTCCCTATTCTTTCACCATCAAAGAGGAATTTCCTGGCCCTCCTAGGCCAATACTGGAATAAGGTCCATGCCCGGGGCCAGATGGCTCCCCCAAAGCGCGCCCCCCCTCCGTGCGTGCACATAGGGGCCGATTTCTATCTCAAGTGCCTTCTGATGTGCTGAGTCAGTCCTGCCTCTTCAGAAGAGAGAAACCGATCAGCTTGCGGGGCATGAGCCACAGGGCTCGGAACTGAAATAACCAACAACAGGCGCTCAGCCGGCGGGTCAAGCCGCGTTTCTGTGTTTGAGGTCCCCTGCCATCCTATTTGTAGGTGTCAGAGGAAATAAAAGAGAGCATGCCTGTGGGCGGGCGGGTGTGTGCACACAATGAGCTGCCCCTCGTGGCATGTTGGGGAAGCTGCGTGGACTGGAATCGGACAGCAAATCTCGGAACAACCATTCATAAAATAAAATGAGCCCTGAGTAGGCCATGCGCTCAGTCGATGCAATACATTCAATATGAATTGATTGATTCATTCATTCAATATGAATTCAATTCATTCAATGTGAATGCCATACATTCAATAGTGTATATGGATACACTATTCATATATATGTGTAATTTTTAGAAATGGTATCTGGTCCCAGGTAAAGACAGGGTATGTATCACATGCAAATCAAAACATATTAAGATGAATGGGACAATGGCTGATGTGGTGTTAGTTGTTCACCTTTAGTGCAGTTTTTACTCATGCATAAAATCACTTAGATTATAATTCTCAGGAACCGAAAATCCAGTGACTGTGGGCTGAAAGAGCTAAAGCACTGCATAGATACTTGTGCATAAAATAAGGCCATGTGTGAGTATCTGTGTTTGGTCGAGTGTCATGAATGACTTGTCATAATAGGAACATGGGAATCCTCACATATCATCTGTAATGCGAAGCAAAATCGAGGGTTCCCATGCCCTTGCCGCACAAACAATCCTTCCCCCCCAAAAAGAATATATGTATGTGTGTGCATACATGCATATCTATTCAATTATGTGGATAATTCAGGCAAGAGTGATACTCTGGAGAAGAGAATAAGGAATTGTGGGGAGATATGCAAATGGCCAGGTACTTCAGGGGACTAGCCTGGAGACTCTTGGTCTCAAAGATGGGTCAACATCAGAGTTTTGGGGTACCCAAAGATGGGGCACACACAGAGTTTGCCATCAACCAGTTATTGTAGGTTGTTTCCATATACAGACCCTCTCGTTTGGGACAGAAAGTCCAGTCTTACTTGAATAAAGTCATTGATACAGTTGATCTAATTATAGCCAGATTTTTTTCCCCAATAAAGACTCTCCTCATCGCAGTGTTGTCAGAATAGATTTCAGCGTCATTCAAAGTCAATAATCTCCATAAGTTTCTGCAAAACACTCTATTTGTAAATAGCAGCAAGGTCATAACTCTAGGATAGGCTATTAAGCTTTGGTCCTGAAGGAAAAGGAACTGAGACCAAACATCTTCTAGAGAAGAAATACATTAAATAGGATATATTAAAGTACAAACCACCCCACAGATACAGGATTTTACACAATGTAAACACTCAGTACACGTTAGAGGACTAGAGAGATGAGTGAATGGATGGACACACAGACAGACGGATAGATGACCCTGGATTCTCTCTAGTCACTTGTCTCAAACTGGGCAGGAAAGGATTAGCCTTTCTCAGAAATCAGCACCAGAGCTACTTAATGGGACAGATGGAATTTCAATTGTACAGTTGCCAATGGGACATGTAAGTTCCAGGTGTATAATGAGTGGACCATATTACATGTCTTGATATGAAATATAAGGAATGGACATAGAGACTCCTTTGCCATATGCAGTTGAGGCAGGAAACTCCAAAGTCATATGCAGAGCCTAAATGAGGAGACTTCTCTGGCAGATATAAGAGAGGCTCTAGCACTACCACTGGGGATCCAACTTCACACGAACCCGTTACTGCGTTTACAGTTGCTATGGGTTTTGAACACATTATTTAATTAATTAATTTCCTTCCACCTCAAACCCAACAAACTACACAATGAATGATACACGGAGCATTTCTCTGATGCTGATTACCCCCCAAGAAACCTCTGTGTAAGACTTCATTATAAAGTAGGGTTTTCCAAGCACTTCCAACACTGAGCTCACTTTAATTACTCACAACGAGGTCATAGAAATCCTCATTTTCAAGTGCCAGCATTGTTTCCTCAAAAATCCTCTCAGTGTTAATATTCTTCACTTTTATTTGGTTGGGCACTTTTTTTCTTCCTGAAAGATATGGAATGAGAGGGACACTGTAGTCCTAATTAAAGTGCTTGCCATTAAAAAAAAAAAAAAAAAAAGGAAAGAAATCCTCATTTTCAGATCTTGAAACTGGCATCAAATAGATCCTGAACATACAACCCATCGTGGCCATCTACTGTCAGAGGAACCACGTTCAGTCTTGGTTGAAAGATTGTAGCACTCGGTATGACAAATCCATTGGGTGGCGTGGCCAGGATGATAACCCAAATAGTCTGATTCAGTGAGCCATAGACACCCTACACAGTACAGCTCCCTTAAAAAATAAGATGCTTACACATAAATTTTATCCAGTGAAATTTGAATGACAATGTATATCAGATCATCTAAACAGTCTTCAAATCACTTTTTAAAAGCCTAGACCCATACCTTACAATTGGAGCACGGGCTTTTCCCTAGGCTAGACATCATGCATATTTTGAAATTTATATTCAAGCATGAACTATCCATTTTAAATTACTTTGGTCTCAAATGAAACTTCACCAGATCTGCAGATAGGATAATTTGGGAAGACCCAACCCTGTGCCACAGGTGTAGCTGTAACGCAGGTTAAATTACAGGGGAATAAAGGGGTGTTTTGATCAGAGGTTGTCAACTTAAATATAAAAACACTAACTGAGCACTGTGTAGATACCAAGCATGGGAATACAAATCAAGAAAGCAAAAATAAGATGTGCTTCCTGCCCTGGGGGAGGTCATGAACTGGTAGCAAAGAGATACAGTCACAATAAGGGAAATGAAAGCTGTGATCGACACATGAATAGGGACTATGGTGATATAATAGATAGTTAACTCAGCTTCAGAGATTGAGACAGAACAGAAGGACTTGCTAGAGTTAATAAACCTGGAATTGAGTTGGATGGCTAATCAACAAATCCCTCTAAGAGACCAATGCCATAGTATGAACAGGTCAAACTGGATTTGAACCTATGGTCAAAACCTTGATCGATGAACCCTCCCACATCATGGTCAAAGACTGTCACCAGAGGACTGGGCAACTTGCCATTGCTTTAGATAAAATTGGCCCAAATTGGCTCAAGATTTCCATAGTACTGTTTAAAAATAGGTAGATTTGGGGTTTTTTAAAAATTCTTTGCTGAGTTTGGATTTGTTTTGTTTTGCAGTATACATTTTTTAAACCCCTGGCCTACAAACTTGAGTTTTAGACAGCAAAGGGCTTCTGGCTAATGCCATAAAAAACCATAAAGGGGACATAAAGATGTATGGTGATGGCTTGTAGGCACCTCCAATTCCCGTGATCACAATTCACACCATTTTCCACAATGAAGTCACACCATATTGCAAGGTAAACTGTTCCCCCACAGTACTTTGCACGTTCTCAAATGCTTTCTTATTTCTCAGAAATAGTCGGTAAATATGCCCATCATTTGCCGCGACAATAACATTAAAAAGCAGATGGATGTTTACATAAGACAGTTGATTCATACTTGGCCGCTTCTTTAAAGTTGCATATCTTTTATATAAAAATCCCACAGGCAGAGGTTGTAGAAGGATGATACTGATGGACGGTGGCTGTTCAACCCAGTCAGCAACCGCTTGCGCTGAGGTCCACAGTAACTGGTGGTGGGAGCTAAATTTTAAAAATGAAACAGAACAAAACATCTCTGCTGGTCCATCCTTAGCACTCTGTTCAGTATAGACCCAGTGACCATACTACCAGGTTCTGGAGAACAGGTTTGTTTTCACCCAATCTGCATTTAGTTCCCATAAAAATCTTGTACTTTTCAGCGCTTGCATTCCAGATTTGAATCAGGAAACATCATCATTATCCTTAGGAGTCGCTGCCAATTTTCAATGCCGGTTTATTCTAAATCCCTAGGCCAGTTACTTTCTATATAGATTGATCTTCTGGCTCCTGTATAGCAAAGGGTCAGATTCAGGGCAGACCCCGGCAATCACTGCTGTTGCATTCCGACCCTGTACTTAATATGTTGGGCTGACTTAACCCGAGCAAACTTCTATAAACGCCTCCTCTTCCTCATCAGTGCAGAGAAATCCCAGACTGAGTGGCTCTAGTGCTGAATCCACCTGGTAGCGGATCTGAGAGGCCCCTCCGAAGGGGTGACCATCAGGGTGGCCTCAGATTCATCCTTGAAATTAACCCAACCTCCCAGAGCCAGGAGACTGGACGAGGGAAAGCCAGACTGACCTATCCCAGGACAGAATGTCAACCTCCAAGCCAGGCTGACAGCCGACGTGGCATTCTAGGGAAGCTTCCGCTTACTGCATCCCTTTTGTTTCCCCTCCTCAAATAGAAAAGCATATGTCCCTTAAGGAAGGTGAACTGCTACAGTGGTGGGGACTGGGGGCTGGGGAGATCCTCAAAGTTTTAGAAATTTTAGGATCAAAAAAAAAAAAAGCATCCATTTCTTTTTATTAATTCAAGACACCTTACAGACACCATCTAGTGAATTCTCCCAAAGTGTGAAACCAAGTCCCATATGTTGTAATCAGGGTAAAACTGATTTGTGTCCATGGGTGGGCCCCTCCTTTGGATGGGGAGATCTTCATAG